TTTTTATCTTAATAATGAGTAATTGCTCTACCAATCCTGAGACATTCAGCAATTCGTCGTGGCATGCTCCTAATCAACCGTCCAATCACGATTTGGGGCAATCTGACCCACTCCTCTTGCAGTGCCACGGCCAATTCTTGCAGTGTTGTCGGTTGACGTTGACGTCGACGAACACGTCTCCCGATCACGCCCCAGACATGCTCTATAGGGAAAAGGTCAGGACTCATGGCTTGGCATAAGGACAATATGGTGACGCTGGAGGTAGTCATTCACGAAACGAGCGCAGTGGGCACGGGCATTATCATCTTAAAAGATGACACGTCGACCTGCACGTTGAGCAAAGGGCAGAACTATCGGTGCCAGGATGAGGTCACGGTAGTACACACCAGTGACCCTTCCTTGAACAATATGCAAATCCGTTCTGTCAGTCATGGTGATTCCTCCCCACACCATAACAGAACCACGCCCGAATCTGTCATGCTGTCTGACGTTAACGTTAGCAAAACGCTCTTTTATACACCTCCAAACGTGAGCACGCCTATCGGTGAACTATGCTCACCAACCAACAAATATCAGAGAGGCTACTGTCTTGACAAACTGACTGAAGATGTCAACTGTCTTGATAAGTGTCATTCCTTCATGAAATCATTACTTGGTACCAAATCCACAGCCACTCAGCCACATTCAGATGATCGCGAGAAATTGGCAAACTCTTTCTCTGACTTTTTTGCCTCGAAGATTGACAACATTAGAAAGGAGTTTACTGATCATGGACTCCTTAATGATACAAATACTTGTACACCCGTGAACTTGACTGGTGTCGTGTCACTCAACGAGTATGAGAGTTTTAGTCAGGATGACATTTTAAAGATCATCAAATCCGCCAACAAAACGACACCGTCCAAGCTACTCATTCAACTGCTAGACATTCTGCTTCCTGTTATTACTTTATTAGTCAACTTAAGTTTAAGTACTGGATGTTTCCCATCGGTGTTTAAACAGGCGGTGGTGAGACCACTAATAAAAAAGGAGTCTCTTGATCCCAATATTCTCAAAAACTATAGACCTGTGTCCAACTTGTCATTCCTTTCCAAAATTGTGGAAAGAGCTGTCAATCGTCGTCTTCAATCCAATATTTCGAACTATGAGTTGTTGGATAAGTTTCAGTCTGCTTACAGACCCCACCATGGCACTGAGACCACTGTGTTGAGGTTCTTCAACGACCTACAGTGTGCAGTGGATACAGGGAATGTAGCATCTTTGACCCTTTTGGGTTTATCTGCAGCGTTCGACACTGTGGACCATCAGATTCTATACAATAGACTTAAATAAATCGTTTTGGATTTCCGGTACACCGCTTTTATTGATCACGTCATATCTTAGTAATAGACATCAAACAGTTCTACTTGGTGAGACTAAATCTCTACCGTTTAAACTTGACTGTGGCGTACCGCAAAGCAGTGTATTAGGACCCATGTTTTTGTTCTTTATACAACCGCTTTGAGGTCTGTGATCGATGGCTATGATCAGAGGCACTACTCTTATGCCGATGATACTCAACTCATTGGTGTGTATAGTCTTATGCTAATCAGAAATGCCTTACAAAAAACTACTGACTGTTCGCTGGCAGTTAAACAGTGGATGAAAGCGAACAAACTAAAATTGAACGAAGATAAAACAGAAGCTCTTTTAGTAGGTTCATCACAACAACTCAGGTTACTACCTGATATTAAAATCACCATTGGTAATTCAGAAATAAATTTCTCCAAAAATGTTCGAAACGTTGGAGTGATATTTGATCCTTCTCCGACAATGGACACTCGGGTTGATATGGTGCCGTACATGCTACTATCATCTACGCTGTATATGCAACATCAGAGACTATCTCACTGCTGACGCTAGTAAACTACTTGTGAGATCACTGATTTTATCAAGGATTGATTACTGTAATAATTTACTCTATGGAATCCAACAAGCACTTCTAGCCAAGATCCAGAAAGTTCTTAATACTGCAGCCCGAATCAAGACTCAACAAACTTTTAATCAATTTAAATCTGCACTAAAGACTTTCCTGTTTCGACAGTTTTACCAGTAGAGCCATTACTAAAAGCGTTTTGATCGTGTGTTAAAGTTGCAATTTCATATTTTTAAGTTATATTTTTAAAATTTATTAAAATAAAGCCTTAAAACAGATGGTATCCATAAACCGTCCTACCTTGTTAAAGAATAACCCTATTAATCCTATAGGTCACTATTGCCAGCTGAGAAATTGGCAAAAATATCATTTTCAACTTCAAATTCCAACGTTTGAAGGTAGCTAATGTATGGAGGCAATAGGAAAACAAGGGAGGTAATTGTGTTATTATTTCCTGTGTCAATGATTTTTAAGGGGTGGAAATAATGCCCATGGTCGTATAATAGTGAGTTGATAACCTATTGAACAAAAGACATAGAAATAATTATGTTTTGACTTTCTTAGAAAATATGAAATTATCGCTTTAACATGGAGAAGACGCTATATAAAACCTCATTATTATTTATTATTATCCAGAGTAAATCTGGACTCATCTGAGAACATTACACGCGCCCATCGACGATTATCCCAATTTCTACGCTGCCTACACCATTGACGCCTGTTTGCCATGTGCTGAATGGAGGTACAGCACGCGGTCGTCGCGCATGCAAATGGGCTTTATGTAGCAGATTTCTAATCGTTTGGGCTGTAACTCAAATTCCTGTAACTTGGTACAAGTTTACAGAAAGCTGATTGACCGTTTGTCCTCTATTTCGCAGGACCTATGTACGAATGTGTCGATCCTGGGCTTGTGTGGTGGCTCTAGGACGACCCGAACGAGGTCTATAATCGACATTGTGTGTTTGTTGGTACCGGTTCCACAGTCTGCTGATCACAGACTGTGACACATTAAGCATGTTGGCTAATGCTCACTGTGTATAACCCATTTGAAGCATGCCAATAGCATATAGACATTAATCATGTTGAAGATTGCAAATTAAACGTAACACACTAAAGCAAAGATACGCTAAACAGTATATCTTGTGCAAGACCCGATAGGAAAGCAGCCATGGATAGGAGAAACCAGCGCGTGGCAGTTTTCATCTACCCTTCCTTGAAGTGTCAAATTTGACAACGAACCCCACCCACGTGTATGGCGCTATTGCGAGTCGCACGGGCAGCTCAGTGGTTCTGTTGCTGCGATAAGTTCTTCATCTGTGAACATACTCTCAAAGCATGTCAAGTGTCCATGATTATTTATTATATCACAACCTGCATAGGTATTTGCATTTCAATATCCCTTACTTTTTTTGAAGAGTATATTAGCACAACCGTAAAGCTGCACTACTTTGTTTCACGATAAAAGATAAAAGGTATGCCGAGACAAACTGATTTCAACACATGGTTTAATAACATTTTAAAGTACTTTTCGCTCATCTTGGCGCTATTTATAAATAATATATATAATTAGAATTTGGTATTGGTTCATTTCAGTCAAATATGGTGTTGTTATCTTGCCATGAAAATAATCCCTCCTTAAGGGTCGTGTAGCTCTATTTGAACAATTTACAATCAGATCCCCATGTCAGTTCTCTTTGGTCTCGGGAGCCATTTGTAATGAGAAGGCTTGGTGAAATTACAAAGCAAAACATACTCCACATGTCAGTGCGGAAGTAATTGAAAAGGCTGATGCAAAAACGACAAAAAAAATATTCTTGTAGACTGGACTAACAAGGCGCAAAAGACTACCATTAGACCGCTCGCGTATTTAACGGAACATAATGGATAACAATAATCATTGGATGTAAATTGATTTATATACATTCATATATTCTTTTCCAATAATTTTCGCCATATTTTAGCACCTTTAAAATGCAACATAAATTTCAGACTTTTCAAATGAGTGAGAAACTAATAAAACTAATGATCTCCTTCCTTCACTAAACCCGCCATTAACTAATTCAAGGGTTAGCTTGGTCCTGAATTTCAGTATCTGCAAATGATGAACAATATAATTATCATAAATTCCATAGGCATGATGTTGGGTAATCAACGTTACTTAAAATGCAGGTGGGAAAGGATGGTGTGTTTCAATTTCGCATGGTGAAAAACGTGTATATTGAGGTCAAACTGAATTAATATCAGTATAGATCACACTTGGAAAATCAATCGTCTTCGCGAAACGATAGTTGAAATTTTTATCTCCTTCGAATAAAGGCATAAAGGCAAAAGAAAACTCAATCTTTGTCCGGAACCGGAATTCTGTTTCACCCATAATATCAATTTATAGGTATAAATGTTTAGCGATGACAGATAGCATTTACCAAAAAATCTATCAGAATGTTCGTCGTCTATTTATAAGAATTACAGTAATACCTAATATTTGTAAAATGTGTCTTTTCTTGTCAATAAGTGAAAGATGTCCACAAATAACTCAGCCAATTCTACATTTCACCGTCTAAAACAAAAGAGTTTACATAAAGATTATATTGTGTCTCGACCGTGTTTCACAATTTGTCAAGATAAATCAAAATAATATATATTAAACCGTTGATGATTATTCTCCCTGTAGATGTTATAGTAATATGTATAAGTTAAACTTGGTGGTCAAATCAGTTAATACTAGTGTACAGTTGTCTCAATAGTTCCTCCAAAAATTTAAAACATACGCCTAATTGTAAAATTTTAAAATTAATTTGATTTCTGAACGTGTAAGGTAAATATATGTATAGAAGATACTCATGTTATTATTAGTGTTAACTAATATTATAATATGTATTATAATTTACTTCTGCTATCTCAAGATTGATATTACAATAAATTAAACAAAACGAAAGAGAACGGTTGGCCTTCTTCCCAACCTGTTTTCACCGACTAATAATACATGTATATACACCCATACTCAAATGGGGAATTACAGTCAAGCAGCGTGGCAAACTATTCCCAAAACACACGTTTTTCCTTCCGATGATAGATGCATATCTTTTGTCTGATAAATCTACCGAATGGATATCTGTTATTTACTCCTTGTTTGTTGATCAGTTCTTTGTTCTAAATACACTTAATCGTCGTTCTCGGATTAATAAATAGTGCCTCGTTTTGGTGGATAGCCATGTGACCTCAGCGGCAAGTGTGACCTATTGGCTGAATGCGTCTGTTATGTTCGTTCTACATTGATAGTATATTTTATGACGATGACTATTAAAATATTTTTATTATAATTATCAAACACCAACGATCGCGTTAATTGAAAAGAACTGACAAAAAACTGCGACATAAATAAAAGAAAACAGATCTGACAACTAACGTTTTGTGGAATTTTCATTTGCACGGTAAGAACAATTATTTTTTGTTATGAATTATGATTTAATTTATTTGAATTGGTGTTTATGTAATCTTTGATAGTTTAGTATTATTTTGTATCGAAGAATACAGGTGTAACTTCAAGTCCTTATATTAGATACCAATATATATATGAAATAAGTATATGATCTATATATATATATATATAATATTGTATATTGAGCCACGTGATATACAAGAAAATAATCATGTACCCATGAATGTATATCATATACCTCCTACTTTATATGCAATTTATTACCTCTTTGATCTTTGCCGACTAAACGCTTTATGTCTGTACGTTGATATGTGTGCGACATAACTCCGCTTCAAGATAGATGTTCTTCGTCCCTTTATATCTGTACATACTACACATTTTCTTATAGACAAGCATACTTAGTTAATAATTAGTTAATTTTCATTCATAAATTTAATTCATGCGCGCTCACTACACATATATATACATAAACATAACATACTTTCAAACATGGTTTAAATCTCGTAACTGAAAACAGGAAGAGACAATTAAATAACGACGATAGTTTATGTCCAATTTATTTCTATCATCGATCAGATTTGTATGCATTCGAGTTTGATGAAAAATCGCACGAACCAGATATAATGCCCCTCGGGCAATCACATATTTTATAGCAAATATATTTTGATTGCTGTTTTGCCACAAGCAATATGAAAATGACTTTTTTTACACACAACGATAATGGGGTGAGTCTGTATGTCTGTCTATATCTCTCATAATTTCTCAAATAAACTATTTTTTTTTATTCTCATTTTCTAAATTGCTAGACATGCATTTTTCTAGTAAATTATATGAAATAACGAGAATATTACCACTACTTCCATTCTAATCTTTTTTTATTTTACTCATACGCCACTTGGCAAATTTACTAGAATATTTTATATTTTTAATTCTTTTCTGATAAACGAGTATTTATTTTATGACTAAGTCTATCATGTGTTTAATTAAGCAAATGAAAACCTTTTTTAAATATAATAATATAGTCAGTTTAATTCTACAGAATGGGCATATAATATTTACAAAATATAATATTTACAAAATATAATATTTACAAAATGGAATGTTAATTGATTAAGTATTTAATTATTATGAAAATTATACAACGTGCAACAATGTAAACTACGAAACTTTAAATAGTACGCGTATTAAATGAGGTATAAATAAAAATAAAATATTGTTCATGAGATAAATTTCTCCTTTCATAGTTAAAAAAGGAGTTTGTGGTGGTTTATAAAACCGTGGTATAATTGTAATGATTTTGTACTGGTTTATAACTACCCTGGTATAATTTTACTGAGTTTTAAAATTACACAATAATTAAATTATAATAAATGAATTAAATTAGTAATATTTTCATGTTAAATAAATTTATTCATTTCGTATTTGTAATGGCTTTGGTCGATATAAAGCTAGAGTAAAAACTGAATATTAACTAATTTACAATTAGGCTCTAATTATAGTGAATAATTAACTGTAGTCTTGAGACGTTAATATGCTGTGTAAGTGTTAAATTCAACATGTGGACAAAGATAATAGCTGACACTGGGAGAAGATGTTACAACTAACTTGTCACCCAGTATACAAATTCGATCAGTCTATTGACCAGTGATTTAAACATGTATCTTATGATATGATGCCAAACACCCATTTTCCTTTCTTTCAAACATGAAACAATTTACAAGTCTTGATTCAGCTCTCGGCAGATTTGCCATTGTTCTCCTGTCTTCAATTGAACCCAATTACTGCAGTTGAATTTAGCCTTTATTTTTCACTCGACTAAAGATCGCTTGTTTTCAGTCGCCTTTATATCAATATCGTAATGAATGAGAGAATTTTCCAATCGAAATTTAATTAAAAACAATAACAGATTTAATTCTACCGAGAAGAGACGTTTGTCCTTTATTGTAAGTGGCAGAATTTTCATTCTCAAGAACACTTGGGACATATGATGCACGTGTATATGTTGAATGTATTGGAGTACTTGTAGTGGTGTAGAGAGGTGTGTGTATATATATATATATACATGTTTGATGAACTAGTAGACCAATACGGTGCAATGTTTTAGTCGTTTCACAAGAGTTTTATTAAAAGGAAAGGTATAAAATATATATATATATATATATATATAGTAGGTATACTAGAATATACTTTAGAAAGCTTTGTTATATTTATATCGCAGTATATTTTTACTATATCTTTTTTTAAACCTGATTTCAGAGAAGAAGATTTGTCTTCCACTTCGATGACAGTCAAATTCCTACCTGGGGTTCGTTTATTATATTGAAGTATCTGTTGGCCACACACGTTACGTTTTCATCAGGTCCTCATTTTTTTGGTGGCAGAAGAGGCGAATGGGAAGGTAATATCTGAAGAATGAAATGGGAGTCACCAGGGCGTGTGTTTCTTACTGGTTCTTATTTAATATTTTATGGTGGAAACGTCAGTTATCTCAACTCGGCTTCGGAACCCTGATTTTAGACCCGTGTTAAATCCTGCGTGTTAATGAAGCTGGAGAGAAAAGGATAAGTTTTACGGATGCGAGATGTGAAAATAGGAGTGGGACAAGCACCCCCATCACGTTCTAATTAAATCGACACATATGCCGGAATAGAATTTTGATTGCCAACTATCCTAACTTTTGATTTATTCATATATCGACATCTTGAGTGAGATAGATAGTGAGAAAAAAAAGTATAATTGGCGCAGGGTTCGTGCAATCCTGCAACAGATTGCAGTCAAGTCTGACAGACGAAGACCCCTGTCTAACTCTATTACCGAAACCAGTTACTGATAGTCTGGACTTGATCATCAATTACATTTATCTTAATTTAAACAATACGAAGACTTGCATACATTTGGATTATTTACATGGATTGAACATTATTTGCTGAGAGAAAACAAAACAGCAAATATAATTTATTTATCCATAATTTGAATGGTTGAAATAATCGAAAGCTTTATTTAAAAGTGATTTTTAAAGTTGGAATATGATTATTATCCATGGTAGTTTCTATAGTGTCAGATCTGAATTGGTTATCTGAAGACGTGTGTTGGATTATCGTAGATTATCGTAGGGGATAATACGAGAAATTAACGCCACGATAGAGTCTAATAGAGATGCGTGTACAAGGAGCTTTAATTGGCCTTTATTTCTACCTGATATTTCCAGCCAATATAATAGGTTTGTGGTGGTAAGTACTAGAGTCCAATCTTCATAAAAACAAATCTTAATGTCACCCATTTAGATAGTGACCATAATTTGGTGAGTTCTTGATATTTATTTTTCAATGATGACCTTGTGTATATAAAATATAGATATTATAGATGTGATTTCATTAGATCTATACAACCATGTTTATATTAGACAGTTTAGGTCTACATTAATTTCAGTCTTCGTAATATGTAGCTATATAAAACAAAATATTGTAGAAGGGTTTTAAAATTTCAGAATATAATTTGAACATTGAAATAGAAATGTGAAACTAACTATTCGTCCATGTAAGTGATAATGTATACATTGTTCATCTGATAGACTAGTGATTCTATATGAAAACAAACAGGAATATAAATATATTATTTTCAAATTAATATAAACCTGCCATTCCACATTCAATAAAACCTGTAATGCACAATCCACGGGAGATTGACCACACATTAATGAAATTAAATTGCTTGCGGCTAAAATGTAACGAAATAAGCAAAGTGATTTCCATTGACTTGTATTTTTATAATTATAGATTGGTTAGACCTACATTAAAAGTAAACGTCTACAGGAAACCAATGAGTTGTAGTTTATCACTGTTTGTTTAATATATTTATTTTCAATGTGTCTGAATAAAAGAAATAGTAAAATACAGGTTGATTATGTCGATAGACTATCAGGTTTTATCGATATCAACAACATGGTAAAGTTTACACCGTCCGCTGTAATATATTAACCTGGTAAGAGAATTGTTTCAATTGAAATCTTCTGGTTTTTTTCACATCTCCTGACTGTTTGTCTTGATCCACCGCGTTCTTTAGTTGTATACATTTAAGTTTAACAGTCTATAAATTGTGTCTATATTAAGACTGGTATGCGTTTAAAATATTTAGTGAGTTTTTCTTTGCCTTTTCTTTCTTAAAATGCTGTTTTGTTTGGTATGGAGACTGAGTTAAGAAGTACTGGGGTCTGATTTCAAACCGAGAACAGAAGACTTTCAATAGTTGTGGGTTGTCGGTACGTGTAAAGCAGTCCTGGTTTAATTCCCTCTTAACTACAGTGTCAACATTCTTTAGAACGACGCTTGTTCGTCAAATATAAGGAAGAGTCGATCGAATTTACCATTGGATTAGCACACATTATTTTGTTTCGACTTAACCATAGTTGTCTATAGAAGATGAAAGTAACATGGGATTAACTCAATTGAAATGTTCAATTTAAAATATCTTGTATGTACACCTTCGTAGCCTAGACACATTTAAATTAATCAAATCTTCACTTATATCTACATTATTGTTGAACACGCCTTAAACAACACTAGTATTACGTCATTTCATACGTCATCGATCAATATGGATAGTTTTAAAGATCTATTTTCTCGACATCAATTAGAAAACATAATCAAAATACCATTTTTTTAATTTAAAGTAAACCTTTCGAGATACCGCATGAGTCGCCATATGTCAACTACATGCTAAGATTTGTAATAATCAACTTAATGTTTTATTCGCTTGTAAGGCTCATCATCATTACAACTGGCAGTCCTTGTACGTGACAAGGAGTAGGGTCGCCTGTCCAACCTCGTGGGTTTTCCCCAGGTCCCCCGGTTTCCTCCCACTGCTAAAGACCCCTACGCGCAAGCGAATTATTGAATTAAAATTGACTCTCTCCCCTCTCTCTCTCTCTCTCTCCCCTCTCTCTCTCTCTCTCTCTCTCTCTCTCTGCTTTGTGGGTCGAACATATGATATATAATTAAAGGGATTTGACGGTGAATAAAAACAGTTGATGTTGTCATTTGGAATGTGCAATACACGGATGCCACATTCGACAGAAAATAAAACTTACTTGAGAAATCTAATGATTTTACCTGTAATACACGTTATTAAGATGTATGTTCTACTGTCGACACAGTCAACTAGGCCTTTTAATCTTTCAAACCAAACAACTAACCGTATAGAACTTGACCCACTACTAATCGAACAACTCAGAGCAATACTTTATTTTATACTAAAATAAAGAGGTTGAATATTTGGAGATATGAACCAGAAACTTCTATCAATTTGCTAAATACCAAGTCAAAAAGAGAATGGCAATTATTTTATGGATTGGATACATGGGGCGTGTATTATTATGAGAGCATGTGGGTCCATATGGTACGAAAGGATGAAAGACTTAGAGTCCTATTTATAACTCTTTACGCAATTATTCCGTGTTAATAGAAAATTGGTTGCCTTAAGCGATACATTTGTCGACATGAGCAACGCCCGTTAAAATCCTTCAAAGGTAATATTCCTACATAAATAAGACAGAAGTCGTCTAGAGAATTAGAGAAACAAATGAATGGCCTCTAGTTATAGCTCACTTAAAGTCTACATAACACAAAAGGAATTGTTGTATTTTTATAAACACTAAACCGCCATTTATAGACCAGTATAAGTTCTACCACTGCATCTTAAACTATGTCTTAATATAATTCAACTGATTTCCACATTAGATAAGCTGGCAACCTAAGTTAATTAGATGAGCTGAATCTACTTCATTGATACACTATTAACTAACTGATATAACAATAAATGCTCAAACTTAAAACTCAAATTTATAGGGGGTTACTCTGTTCCCTGATTTAAACGATGATAAACTGCCATATGCTAGATTCAAATTGGCGAGTTAAAGCCCTTCCAATATACACATGCAGTATGTAGATGAAACTTAACATAAACCATATGTTTGGTTTCTTCCTTAGGTAAGGCGGTGATAACACACCTGTATATTTACCTGTAACTTTTATTAAGGTATAACAAAACTTCATCTTCGTCAAGAATAGTTGAGTATCAATATCAAATCTAATGATATGCTAGCCTGAATACAACCAAAGGTAAATATCGAGTAGGTAACTAGAGTTGTGTGTATATATTGTTCCAGACAACCTCCAAATAAACCATCATATTTCTGCCAGTCGAAAAGATTCTTAGGGCAGTTCGATCTGTTTAATAAACTTTAATACCCACGTGTCGAGGCTTACTTCATGTATCTTTAATCGGGTTGTCGCCCTTAACTGACTGTTGGCAATAGACAAACTCGGGTACAGCTATTGACAAATCATTGTCCTTGATAACGATAAGACGATACTTGCCGAAACGTCGTGCTTTTAGAATAAAACTAGTGATTGTATCCCATAAAAAACTGTGTTCTGTTAGAAATAAGTAATACCCAGTACCCGGACCTACCGACTTGAAACACAAATTGCTCTGAAATAAAAACGTTATTAATACGTGTGAACACTACTATATCTATATACTATAAAAGATGGGGTAAAATGGGCCTAGTTTTAATTGCCATAAAGAAAGGTAAACCATCACTAATCTTTTAACAATCTGTTAATCTTGGACGTTCCCTTCCAACCCCAACAAACATGCTTTCATTCCATATAATATTCGGATATTTATTAAGAATATGTCTCCTTGATCGTACAAAATTGGCAAGAATGTGAAAATGCATTAGTCGGTGGAATTTCGCCATAACTACATGTATTAAAAGCACCTCGGAGTCATTTCCATTTAACTGAAATTCGATATCTTAAATTTTTTTCGCGCAATCGCTGAGATTGGGCGGAAATTAAACGTCATAATGGGAAATATCCCTCCTGGTTGCATGGAGTCCAAGAATAAATTCCAGAAATCCTAGCTGTACACAACATCTCTCCCTATAAATTTAAAGCGTCGGTGTGTTTTTGATTTTTTTATTATATTTGTTCTGATTCAAGTGATTTAAATTTGTTTAGATGATAAATGATAACATAAATGGGCAAGTCATTACTGAATTACTAGAATATATCGAGGAAAATATGACCACACTTTCGATTAGATACTTCTACTTTGTAATTAGTAACAATAAGGAAATGTAATAATATAGTTTGTTCGGATGTGATACAAGCTTCTTAGGCATAGGAAATTAACATAACAGAGTAAAATGGTTCCGAGAGGAAAGTGCGAAATATTCTAAACTAAAATATCGTTTGAGAATATTTTCCCAGATAAATAAGTTTTAACTTGATGACCATTATCTAGATGTTCAGCAGTCTTCATGTCTTTAATATAGAGTATATATATTATTAGAATAGTCAACACGTATTTTGAATGTCTTAATTAAAATATTTAGAATTAAAAAATAACCTCATTATAGAACACCTATTCCTGTAGTGTGCAATTCCTGAAAGGGAACGTGTCACCTGCTTATGTTTAAGACCTGAAACGATTATTTATTGGACTGGGATGATGTGGCCAAATGTTAGATTATTTATGGATAATAAAATTGCAATGTGATTTTACTCATCAAGATTTGTGATTATTTCATTTCATTCATGTTTTAGCTCATTTATATTCTGCAGGATTATCGTGCTTGTTACCTTGCTGTACAGTGGGGCAAGATCATGCTTGGTACCTTGCTGTACAGTGGGACAGGATCGTGCTTGTTACCTTGCTGTACAGTGGGGCAAGATCATGCTTGGTACCTTGCTGTACAGTGGGACAGGATCGTGCTTGGTACCTTGCTGTACAGTGGGGCAAGATCATGCTTGGTACCTTGCTGTACAGTGGGACAGGATCATGCTTGGTACCTTGCTGTACAGTGGGACAGGATCATGCTTGGTGCCTTGCTGTACAGTGGGACAGGATTATGCTTGGTACCTTGCTGTACAGTGGGGCAAGATCATGTTTGGTACCTTGCTGTACAGTGGGACAGGATCATGCTTGGTACCTTGCTGTACAGTGGGACAGGATCGTGCTTGGTACCTTGCTGTACAGTGGGGCAGGATCGCTTAGCTTAATATTCAACATGGTCATCAAGCAATGGTTCTGAGCATCCGGGAATAAGATTGGCACATTCAACCATGTTTGTAAAACATAGAAGATTCAGAGTCAAGAACTAAAGTCCCATCTATACACCCATTCATTTAAAAACACGTGTGCTACACTGCAGACATTGGTCATATTTTTAGATAAGATTCTATTGTTATATTAAACAGATGCTAAGTGGTCCCAACAACAAGATCATTTCGTCCAAGTTTAAAAAGTGGTTTGATCTGCGAATAATCCCGTTCGTCTGAAGCTTAAAGTATTCACAAGTGGCCTTTCCCTTGGCAAGCTTGTCATTCCAACACACGTGCATTCAACAAACACACGCACACCAAATCGTTTCGTATGCTAGCCCTCACATCAAGAAACATGGCTACGAATATCATATTTCTAATTCCTACTCCTACAACTTTCTCGTTTTTCTCATTTTCTATCAGAATATTTCACTTGAATTTGCGAAATAAAATACAATGTGTTCAAATTCCTATTCACCCGTGCTGACAGCGGAGTAAGCGGACTGAATACAAACTACAGACTAAGATAAACCATTGTTAACAATACTTGCCATCCAGAATCAAGCTTTTCTTGGTTTTCTTTTATTTAAATTTAACTCTGTTTTCCGTGGATTATATGATAATATTTTGTAATCCGATGTTTGAGAATATTGTGTGCAGTTAGTTTATGCGTTTGCTATAGTTATGTATAATATATTCACACGGTTGCTATAGTTATGTATAATATATTCACACGGTTGCTATAGTTATGTATAATATATTCACACGGTTGTGTCCAGTTTTATTACCAATCAATATGTATATTAAAAGTGAAATATTTGATTTTGGCTCCAAAGAAAATTGTCTATTTAGCCTAAACAAAATGAATTGTTATCAGAGACTAAACTAAGACTTTCGATAAAGGATACTCGATAAAGGATACTATCAATTGAAAAAAGAATTTGGGAGAAGCTACAGGATGCTTTTTGTTAAATATATAAAATTGTCGTAAGTTTAAATTTTATATTGTCTTACCCCCTCCCCCCACCCCCAACTCCTTTTTAAAAGTAAACAAAACAAGATAAAATACATTTTTTTTTAAAGAGAGACACAAAAACAAACACAGATACCGTAATATGAAAGACCAAAAATAATAATGTATAATGGAAGTCAACATGTGAAATCCATATAAAACTATTTTCTGTTCCAAGTTTTTAAAGCACGTGTATTATGTATTGCTCAAACGCGGTACACTTAGTCCAGTTAACAAAAGAATTTTGACTATGCCGATATCCAAAAAATAATAGTTTTTAAAAATGTAAGCCTCCCGCATCTTGTTCATAAAGTTTGCTAATTATCGCGGAAATTGAAAAAAACCCACCAAATTATGAAATATATGGAGCACGTGCCTTTTAATCAACCTTACTGATAAAAAGTCATTTTGAATATTTTGGTAGACTGTATATTACTGAAGCTAGAGATGTATCTAAAAATGTTTAAATTATTAATATTAGTAAAGGTTTTATGTATTTTATAAATATTCCTTTGATAGATATTTTGTTTATTCTATATTTAGTAGTCCCCTGTAAAGAGAGATAAAAATGTTGCCTAATAACACATGGATTAATTAAGTGAATATTATTGACCGATATTTTAGTCTAAGCCATTATTATTAGTTATTATTAAACAGAAATGTTGGCTTTTTATATTCCTATAAAATATAGAGATATCTTATTTTGTTATATTTTTTAGGTGTTAAACGAAATAAATATAAGCTAGAACTAAAAATAAGCAATGGGTTGGTGTGTTAAATAGATCGAAGAAAAATAATGCGGAGGCCTTTAACCAGCTCTAGAAATTATGTAACATTGTATATTTTGTGTATTTTAGGGCGGTGGGTAGACCAGTTGTCATTGTATATTTTGTTGTATTTCAGGGCGGTGGGTAGCCCTCTTGTTATGGATACCAACAGTATATGTCGTAAAACACGACGATTAGCCGGCAAGCAGCGAGCAATCTGTAGAAAAGAACCTGAAGTCGTTGAAGAGGTAGCGAAAGGCGCAAAAGTAGCGTTACTAGAATGTCAGTATCAATTTAGAACGAGGAAATGGAATTGTACAACGCAGAAACGCAGCCTATCCAAGATTCTACGACACGGTAAGTTAAATTGCACGTGTCTGATAATTCCTACGCCGACATTATATGTAATTGTAGAGGGTTAATTGAGCATGACGAGTAGGTGTCGACAGCTGATGTATGTTTAACACAGATAAGTAAACGTGTACATGTATAATATACATTTACTTTACTCTAAAATTCAAATAACTATATACCTTAATTTACATTACACAAAAAGTACCGTAACATATAGGCCAACATTTATTTATTTTTTTTTTTTAATTCATTTTTTTCTAATTATTAATTATCGTTAGAATAATGTAATATGAGGAAGTTGGCAGTCCGTTCTATTCAGTTTAATACCTTTTTTTTTCAAAAAGGTAATTTGTGAAAATCAAAACTGTTTAAACTAATTACTCGAATAGATATCCCATCTGAAAATCTATTTGGCAATACGGCGACCCGCATCGTGACTCTTCAACATATCAAAAAGCGACAATATGATTGCCAGAATGTTATAGTTACTCAAGTCTTTTGTATGCTAATTTAAACTCCATTTCAAATATATATGCTGCTGTAAAAACAATATTTATGTGAAAGAAGTAACGGTTGATCTGTGTAGTATGATTGCTATCCTTCGCAGCGTTAACATTAAATAACATAATGGAATGTTATCCCATTTCCAAGTTATGTTTGATCAAATTCTCGAAATCCCAAATTACACAAATACGCTTTATATCTATTGCGACCTCGTTATAAAAATACCCCCAAAAAATAGATAATATGAAACAATGTAGTATGTAATCACAGATCTAGAAGCTAAAATAAATTAATAGGAAATATTACACAGATTGTTGATGTGTAATTTCTCTAGCCGCTCTATCAACTAATGGCAGTTTTAGCAATTAAATAGGTTTGCAATTGGTGCACAATAAAACTACTTTGATGAGATTCCTAGCTTCACATTTGAGATCAATGTGTCTTTTTAAGTGGAAAGGAATCTGTGTTTATGACTTAATCTTACAGACCATGAATCAGGCACAACGATGGGCATGCATTGTTCGCCATTATTAACATTCTCCGCATAGTAAATCGAATACTGTAAACAAGATTCATTTCAACATGGCCTCATCCTATCAAAAAGGCTAACAAAGCATAGAAAATCTAATTCTTTGGATGCACTAGATCAAAGTCGATTAATTTAATTAGGAGCAGTATTTTTGATAATTAACTCGAATTACCACAATATTTGATCATGAACATCAATTTGTGATAACGCCGTTTTCGGTGATTCATGTATTTATTCAATAACCGCATCAACAATCAAATTTTATAATCATATACAAAGTATTATTGACTTACTGGTGTATTTCAAACCACGTCCAAATTACATATTTGAACAATGAGAATGGAAATCCGCGGGCTATAAAACTCTGCTAATCATTTCATTTTGTTGTGTAATTATCTCTTACCCAACTGTCCACATTCATTTAAATAAAAATATTTATTATCTCAGTTCTAATCATTTTTATTCAGATGGAGTTTACACATTTTATACACATGTATTATTATATATTTGAGAAAACATAATTTCACTCAATTAATAGACGTCGTGATACGACAAATCCAAACCTATGTACTTGTATATTTAACAAATGGGTGGCGTGAAAATAACAAATGACAAAATTACTGTTAAAAATGTGTATACTTAAGATGTGTATACGAAAGATGGCGTTCCAATTACGATAATCAGTACCCCTAATCATTTTAGTGGAAGCAACACTCTACCAAAATATTTTCCTTCTTCCATATAGAAAATCAGTGAGTGAAACAAATCGACGTAATCGCTTATTTTCTTTCTAGGATGAAATTATAAATCATATTGTAAAAGTAATTAACAGTTACAAAATAAAGGTCGCGGAAAAATTCCGACAAGTTTAACGATGTAGGGCACTCGTCCACTGACATAATGGGGTTTGAGAAAATTGGTCTTAACCATTTAAATATCTCGATATGATTATCACTAGTCCCCCGTTCCATGCATCAAGCCTATATCAGCATACTTGAATGTGATGAGAAAAGCCCAATTTTAATAAGGCTTAAATTAAAAATCCCCAGACATGATTCAAAGAACGGAAATGCATAACGACAAATAAGCAACTAATTATGCTTGCTGTAATTCTAATACTTCTCACAAACTTATGACAGCACGTCAAGTATCGCTAACCTTTTTATTTCTTACATTTTGCCCAACTGAAATAAGTTTACTGATGATGACCAAAGCGATGGTTATCTGTGTCTGAACACCTGTATGGCGAGGGAGCTGACTATATAAAATAATAGTAAAGAATATCTTGGCACACTCTAAACAAATTGAGCCATACAGCAAACTTAATTTTACCTTCTAAGATATCAAACAAAAGACAATCTCGTATTTCAATGAAAATCAAATAAGAGGTGAAAATAAATAATCCCTATTTGCTATCACACTGTGTCTAAACTTAGAACATTGTAGGTTTCACACACTTTCAAATTATCCCAAAATTAATGAATGGTCTCTTGCTACGAAGCTCTTCAAATGGTACCTTTTGTATCTTTCTAGATAAATACACGAGACCTTTACCCCTGCTAACTCTACGCATCCATATGGTAAAATTCACATGTTCTTGAAATTTGTCTGTATTTACAAATACCGACTTTATAAGAGAGTCATTGATAAAAGAGAGGACCCACTGATACAATACTACTATACTATAGATTAGTAATAGACAACAAAATTATTGTAGTCTTCTTTTTTAAAGAAAAGAATTCCACTTACCAGTACTACTAGTACAGCTAACATATTCACTAACTTATTGCCTAACTAACATACAATTTATAAACAGTATTAATACGTATCCGCAGAACAAACCTCTACATACAAACTGAGAGAACCAAGTATATTCTTAACAGAAATTAGGCCATTTTTGCAGAATTCTATCTGCATCTAGGGTCATTTAATTAAAAGATGAAAGGGAATTTCTCTATGAAGCGGCAAACATCACTCAGTAACAGCGCGTGCGATACGGATAAGGTTACACATCAAAGGCGCCGACAAAATATTATCTGGCTTCCTACTTGTTTTCTGGCATGGAAGAGGAATCAGTATATGCACTTTGCTATAATTACCGCTTTGATGCTAGAAAACTATCATATTTATCGTCTAGGAGACGTTTGATGTTGAGGGTTTCAAATAGACATATGTTCTTTAGAGATGGAAGAAACAAAAGTCTTAAAGAAGTAACAGCGATAATATCAAGAGTTCTGCTAACTTCTTTCTAGTTACTTTTAATAGGATTTTCTTTGAACACGGCTGCTAAAAAAAATGGAAGAAAGTTAAAAGAAGACTGCCAGAGTTTTACTGCTAAGTGTGCCTGCTGAGTTAGTTTTTGGTCTTCAATGATAATAGTTTCTACTGGGGATGTACTTCGATAGAGATATATTTGTTCGAAAACTCGGTTTTACCATGTTGTTTAACTGCATTAGTTTGTAGATACTCCGTAGCTATTGCGTAAAAACGTGTTAAAAGAAATGCCGCTTTTTATAACATTCAGCTGTTTTATCGCCTTATAACCTAGCAAGTGTTTCCATTTTTTTCTATAATAATTTTGTAGACATGGTCTTCTTACCATAATACTGTATGCAACTGCCTGTATTTGCAACACAAACATTGTTTTGTTTTTATTTTTATAAAATGAGTGGTTTGTTGGTTATTTTCGATCAGACAGTTTAACAAACAGTTAAGATATATTTAAGTACTTGGTAAGTGAAGTTCTTGTGGGGTTTTTTGTCGTAGTGGAATAGTGGACCAGACCTTGTTAGTTTAGTTAGAAACTTACTGGTCCCCGCCACACTGCTCATTTTATAAACTTCAAAGGGATAATAATTTGTAAATGATATGACTCTATATTTCTCGGCCATGGTGGTCCACATTACACGTGTAAACAGTAATGGGATTAACTTTTAAGTCGTAAAAACGGGGAACCCCCTGCAGTTATATTTATCTAGAAGGAATAAATTTAACGAGCCAACACATTTATTTAAATGGAGATGTTAAGGTAGGAAGTGTAGACTGGAGACGTTATTAGGAAAATTGCTCAGAAGTACATTAAATGTTTGTTTTTGATATAAAGTTGGGAGTTAAGTGTCTACAATGATAAGACAAAACGCCTTAAACTTTCCAATGCAATATATTATGTTTTCATATTCCCGTCGGTTATATCGGTTACCAGAAATATTTTATCATTCTGTGGTCAAGAAATATCGTTTAGGACGAGTAATCTCAAAGTTAGTCGCCCATATACCATTGCTTTTCTCCGCGGACACAATGGAAGACGTGGTACTCGGAATGATTTGGATAGGTTTTCTTCGGCCTATATGTTTTCATTACGGAAATGACCGAGCAATGAGGGTGATCATTTTGAAAAGTAGAAACCTATGACACCGCTCCTCTTAAAACAGACTCCCGCTACAGCGATGTAGGCGATGACTAATTTACTGAAGCCTTTTTGGGATTGTCTGCGGGTAGTCGACTAATAAATACAATCGCCGAGTTTATGATCCTTCCCCTTTTCTTCTCCGTGTTCTGATGCGTTAAACGGTGCCATTAAAATAGAGATTATGTATTAGTGTAATTTGAATTTTTTACGCATGTTTTGTCAGTTTTATTCTTTGGTGTGGCACCCAGACACGAATAAAATAACCCAATACTTTATGATCCTTACTCATAAATGAATTGGTATTTTATCTCCTACTGGTATGTCATCTTTTATTAATAGGATTAAAATCTTTATGACAAGAGACCCCACAAATATAATAGCTACATGTCAAGCATGGAATTATGTCTTTGCCTACCCCACTAGTATACTGACCACATAAACTGGCACAGAAAATCACTTGATCATAATGTAGCCGTGTTTATAGCGCTACAAAAAACACAATCACTCTTGCAAATATTTCTCAAATATTCGATGGTTCGCACAGATAGCTTATGATACCTGCTCATAGTTCGTACAGGTAGCTTGTGATACCTGCACACCTTCTTTAACATATCATTCGATAGTTCGCACAGATATATATATATATATATATATATATATATATTTATATTTATATTTTTCTCATTTTATTTTATCTATTTGTGTATATGCTTGATAACGACTTGTGAAATATTGATATGTAAGAGAGATCAATTTGAAATGGATTCGATGGTGTTTTTTAAAATAGTTTTCCTGTATTTATGTAAAGGAGTACATTAATTCGTATGAAACACTAGAAAACATTTATTTTGATTCGGTATCATTGTTTTTTTTTTATAATTTCAGATACACGGGAAGCCGCGTTTGTATACGCCATTACCGCTGCCGGGGTTGTATACGCGGTTACACAGGCATGCAGTATGGGTCGTTTACTACAGTGTACCTGTGGCAATAATCTGCGGGACACGGCTACTGATGGAGAATGGGAGTGGGGGGGATGTGGGGATAATGTCGAGTTTGGCTACCAAAAATCCAGGGAATTTATGGACGCTCGTCGACGGAAAAAACGACGTGGTGACGTCACAACCCTTGTTCAGTTGCATAATAACGAGGCTGGCAGACAGGTTAGTAGAAAGGATTATTTAAATAAGATCTATCTCTGATAAAGGAATAGAATTGGCTGTAGAAGAACTAGTAATCTTGTTATATTCTCTTATTCCAGGCAGTACAACGGTACATGAGAAAAGAGTGTAAATGTCATGGATTGTCTGGCTCATGCACTTTAGAAACGTGCTGGTTGAAAATGCCCAAATTTCGAGAAGTTGGAGATCGTCTGAAACAGAAGTTTGATGGCGGGGCAAAGGTGATAAGTTCAAATGATGGAAAGTACTTAATACCTGAAGGAGAAACTATTAAACCCCCCTCTCGTGAAGACTTAGTGTACACGGAAGAATCTCCGGATTTTTGTAAACGGAACAAAAAAGAAGGGTCGCTAGGCACAAAGGGACGTTCATGTGACCCAAGTTCTATGGCAGTAGGGGGCTGCGATTTGCTATGTTGTGGTCGGGGTTATTCTAGAAAGCAAGTAACTCTCCACGAAAATTGTAAATGCAGGTTTATGTGGTGCTGTGAAGTTATTTGTGACACGTGTGTGAACACTAAGACCGAGACAAGGTGCTTATGATGCGTTCGCTAACAAACATTACAACAATCTAGACGAGAGCAAAGGAAATATCGTGCTATTTATTCGAACGTTCAAAGATGTTAATTTTGAAAAATAGAATCTGCTTTTCAACTTCAAAGTCTTCCAAGAAGTAGAATTTTGAGGACGTTGGCCTGAATTATTAATGTTAGTGTAAGTTAGATTATATAAAGAGCGCTATATTCACGAGCTAATTGTGGGATGGTACTAGTACTATCGGTCAAATATAGTTTATTGATTTAATATTTACATACTCGTGGTTATAGTTGCTGGCCAGCATATAGCTCGGGTATTGCTTGATGATTACCAGTTGTCAACGTTTAGATTTAGCTTGATCTGGGGAGGGGTGTGGCTATGTGTAGAACAGTGATTGAAACCGTAGTACTGTGGAATCGTGCTGAATGGATTCGAAATTTAGAGAGTTTTGAGATCTGAAATGCTAACGATCTAACTGCCATACATCTTTATTTTATATGAATAAATTAATAACACCCAATAATCGTGTCTACCATAGTCTGTACTGGTATATAAACCATAGTCTGTACTGGCTGGTATATAAACCATAGTAATAATTTACAGTCTTGGTATATGGTATATTTGCTGTTTGCACACTATTTGGTAGAATTTGAATCAAAATTCAGCGTTTATTAGAAATGGCGTTACATAGTGTTATAAAGCCTAACTATCGTGTACAGATCAATCCTATTCAAGACGATTCGGGAGATCTTTCCTCAGTTGGTAGTTAGAACAGATAACTGAGAAGTTGTTGCATATAGTCAGTGTCAGTGAAAAATATCCTTGGCACTTGGAATTTGATAAAGAGACTCCGTTATCCGTAAATAATTCTTGCCCCCCGACCCAGGTTAAAATCCGCTCATAACGACCGTATATTGGTTCAGTTAAAAGGCTGCATAAAAGATTTTTCACAGCCCAAATATTAAAAAAAATCGCAAAGAGTGTGTGACTCGTCAAATTGTTTTATACCGGCATAGGCTTATTAGATAATTGTTTTATACCGACATAAGCTTATTAGATAATTGTCAATTGTCATTATATAAATCTAGGCATATCCAAATAGAAAACCTTGATGAAAATGTTTAAGATTGGATTTGAATGATTAGTGGATTTAAGTAGTTTTGCCGGGTGGGGTGTAACATATCTTTTGCCATCACCGTACGAATCGGAATAATGCATTATTACCTATAGATAAATGGATAGCTTCATTTCTTTTAATAAAACTTTAAGTATTGGTATCAATCGCCCACCGATGACAGATTTAATAATAAAGACTACATCAATGAAATGATTGTTAGAAACTCGACCGTTTATTAGAAACTATGACACGACACGACACGACGCTTATAAGGGAACGGGGGCCTGTTTCACGAAATTTTAACTAAAATAAAATCCAAATTTTAGTAATTTGATTGGATAATATTAGATTGATTTTAGTGCTTTGCCAATCAAAATTGAAGTATCTACTAAAATTTGGATTTTATCTTTAGTTAAGATTTTGAGAAACAGGGCCCTGGTTTCAACAATGCGTCGTAGTCTTAGCTAATTACTTATAAATTGCCTGTTATAGCAGCTTGTTACCTTACATGCTCAGATGGTAGGATAGGTTATCAGTCCGGTATAAAAATACCGGCAACATGACATCAGCGCAATGAATTAGTTGGATAAATTGTTTTTGAGAGGAAAATATACCGGACAGTGGGAACCAGTGAACAATATAATAGGGGTTATTTAGTGTGCCTTATATATATATATGTTAATGTCTGTCTACGATTCAAGCCCAGCTTGGTTGATTGTTTGTTTCAATGTAATTGTCGGTTTAAGTCTCTAAACGTCACCTGTCTGTAGTCTTCGCTAAAATCGGTTGATGGGCCTAAAGATGCATTACGTAAGATTTAGATAAAGCGCCGGCCATTCTTGCTATAATAGTTCAAAAAAAGTTAATGCTAAATAAATATTTTGAAAATTTCATTCAAATTACTTTATTCTGAGCCAAGTTATCACTGTTTGAAGTTTTGACAATCAATTTGAGTAGATTTTAGCGTAGATTAAGTTATGGAAATAGACGTACAGAGACTTTAAGTTGTTTTATTTGTTGTATTTATAGGGTAATGTCTAAATATTATGAATAATATATGTGCCGTTTTTATGTATCTATAACAATATATTAATATTTTCCTTGGGAATATATAACACCGCATTAACTACAAAACACTTTATTATTTTAGTCAAAAAAGTTGTATCCACATTGAAAAGATACGTCCACAAATGGTAATAATAAAACAATAATAAAAACAGGAGACTTTTTGTTAAATTGGTCAGATATTTGTCTATTGTGTTAGATGTTACGACGACGACCAACAGCTCGTCACATCCAAACGAGAAACGGTCTATTGTTAGGATGTCTTAGATTTCTTTCCCAGAATCTACTACAGTTAATCTACCTGTTCAAAGATCTTGGCCCAGCAAATAGACCCAAACATTGTTGAAAAAATAATAATGTTTAATATTAAATTCAACACATCTCTAATATAAGCTGTTCTTGAGATCGACAAACATTACCTAATGTATAACGACATATTCATCCATTACTACCAACTAGAGCCTTATGAACAATCTGATTAAAACACAATCTAATGTGAAGAATTAGCCAATGAAACGGTCTGGTACGGCGAGTTCTTGGCGTGCGATGCACGGAACTGTGGATAAACCACTAGACACGTCAACGCTGACTGATTAATCAATGTCTGACGTCATAGGGTCAAAAGCCGCTCGTATGCCCCCCTGACGTGACCTCCCAGTACAACTGGTCAGATCGTCATGTAGTATAGGCCATCGAAAGTATAAAAAAAACCAAAATGAAATATAGATGTGTATTTTACTCAGATTACGTTAAGAAGATTATATTTGTGTGTGCTCATTTATAATTAAAGTTATAACAAAGTTTGATAACTGCCAGGGGTGAATACGCCATACTGTGTTGTGAAGATAATGAAGTAATGTTATTTACCTGTCTGTGTTATTTAACAATAAACTAATTATTTGTATTTAACCTGTATGCTAAACTAAAAATAGATTATTAATGTAATTACTTTATTGTCGATGTTATGAAACATTTAAAATAGAATCTTTAAAAAAAAATAAATAAAACTTAAATTTGTTTTAATTTTAGAGTTGTTTATATCAGTCTAAAAGCAAATAACTGGGCAACATGTTAGCTTGACACATACGGGCCTACAAGGACTAATCATGGGTTTCCATTCATTTCAGTAGGGGTCTGTAGGGGGTGGGGGGCCTTTATGATGATATATCTATAATATAATAGGATTTGTGATGGCGAAGACAACTGATTGTAAACAACTAGTATATTACCATAGATGGAACAAGCCAACAGTGAGGCTGGTGTCCAACGCACCAAAATAAATAGATGTCACATTTGCAAAAATTTTTGTGTAAATTGTTTATCTATACTTAGCCCGTGCAGAACAAAAACCATGATAGAACTTGGTCAAGGCACTGAAGTAATGAAACTATGGACCAAGTCCCAGACATCCCCCTCAATTAAAACCAATATGCTTATCTATGCTGCTTATAATCATCGTCCACAGCCAAGAAGACATTCACATATTAACTAACCCATTTTAATAGTCTCCTGCTGACCTAGAAAAGCCAGGGGTGGGGGTGGGGGAGGGGGAATAAAAACCGACTTACCTATTATCATGAAATGGATTCAAATACATAAAATAAAATTTACATGACAATTATATATCATGAGTATTATACAAATAAATTGAGGGTTCAAGTGTCAGTTACAATTTCTGAGGTCTTATTAAATACAAAGTTAAATATTCTATCACAAAGGTAAAAAGACGATTAAATGTTCTACAAATAGTTTTAGCTTGACATATTTGTAAATAGCACCGTTTCTGGTAAACATGAAAATGGGAGACAATTCGAAAATTGTAAATATATATTATATGCAAATCAACAAGAGCTAGTAAAATTCTATGCAAGTTGTGGTAGAATGGGTAATTGGGAAGTAAAGATATGGTCTCGATACACCCTATTAAGTTTGTGTATTGCTGAAGATTGGTATACATACTATAAACGTAAAACAAATTAAATAGTATTTACAACCAATGATAATAATTTGACAAGCATAACGGACCCTTGAATTATCTAACTAATCAGACAAATGTAAAACCAGTGTATTACTATTTACAATAAATTTATAATTGGCACATAAATGTACATAACTATAACACAGTGAAATACTAGTTCTACATAGAAGATTAAATAAATATAAGGATTTTAGTTTACAATAAAAGGCTGTATATACACACAAATTATTCACAATATCAAAATTATTCGAATTATATAGACATTTTATTTTCTTAGCCCAATATACACAAATTATTTAATGGATCATGGAGTCAATAGATAACTTAAAATGACTTCCCCTCTCTCAGTCTTTTGTCCACATTAACTTAATTTGAAAGATCTGGGCCCAAATTCACAAAAACTTACACTAAGATTTTTAGGGATTCAGCTCTTTCATTGGCCAATAACTACATTTTCACTCTCATCCAATTAAATAGCTTCCCGCTTAAAAATATTCTAGTTTAAGTTTTCGTGAATTACGCCCCTGGGTGGTGGTGGTGGTGGTGTGTGTGCGTGGGTGTGTGGGTGTGTGTGTGTGTGGGTGTATGTGGGGGGGGGGGGGGGTAATGGGCTGGTGATAATACAGGGCGTCAGGCGACGTTTTACACTAAATCCGTTCCAATTATCTGTGAAACAGAAATTAAAACTACTAAACTCTAAATTGTTATTTCTATTTCTACTGCTGTGTTACAATAGGTGATCATCCAGCTTCTATAAAAGGTTTCAGCATGAGACTTGACACAGTTGGATGATCTCCACATGTTCATCAATTGTTCTTCACGTCAAGTTAGAGTAATGTTAGAAACACGTATGTTTCACTTTAAGTCTTGTACAAACTTGACATTTAACTTGACAACACCAGTGAAAAGTACAATGGCATCTTTCCCTAACAGTATATGTTTCAGATTTATGACCTCGACCACAACACATCAGGTCACAACCTTGAACCCCGAGTGACGTAGCATTACATTCCCTCCCGGAAGTTCCTTCAAAACCGATCACATTTTCCTTCTCGCAAAATGTCGGCGAATTCTCGAAGTACACGAGATCTCGTCTGCCTGGCCGCTTATGATTTGGATTTACTGGACTAAAATTAAATCTTCTCTTCTTGCGACCTACAGCTCGTCCTGCATTTCCTAAAGACAAAGAAGGTTGCTTTTATATATAACAATATCTAGTGATTTTCTTACAGAAATATTAAAACAATATAAGTCATAATATAATTCTTTAGTTTCCCTCAAATTAGATTGCTCCGTAGACCTACATTCCATTCTTGGAATGAACAAAAAGGGTCCAACTGACACATTGACAGTTTGCAGCTCAAACAATATGATTAAATTACATAATAATCTATATTTCGTTCGTTTTTTCATACTTTCGATATCCTCTACTACATGAAGATCTGGCCAGTTGTAGTAGGAGATCGCGTCAGGGGTCATACGAGCCCCTTTTGACTCTATGGCGTCTTACATTTGATTAACCAATCGGCGGTGATGTTTCTAGAAGGATACCCACAGTTCGAGCATCGCCCGCCAAGAACTCGCTGCAACAGACCGTTTCATTGGCTAATCCCTAACATCAACCGCAATGCGGGTTATATAACAATTCACCCAGATCCTAGTGTAGTAAAGACAAGTAAAACGAAATTTTGAACTATAAAAAACGAAACGAAATAGAATATTTGCTTTGATCAGTTTGCAGCCCAAAGAAGAGGGCATAGTCTGAACTGTCAACCAAAAAATAGGACTATTATACGACAAGAGCATGAAATGGATCCCTGCATTAAGATAAATAAAACTTTAGGCGTTAATTTTGCAGCCGCATAATTACAATGATTTGTAGGTCTTGTGTCGTCTGAATAAACACCAATAAATATTTTTTGCCGAGGTTTGATTTCTAAATGGATTCAACTCGAGAAGGTTGGTCAATAAATATTGGTATTAATAATAAGTGTTAGTAATGGACATGACAGTTAGCGCAGTTAGTAATGGACAGGACAGTTGGCGTGGTTACAATATTATACAAGTAAAAAATAGAGAATTTAAAAGCTGTAAATATGATTAGCTTAAAGCGGCATTATGGTAGATTAGATACAGAGCTGACAGTTCTCACTATAATAGTTTAAAAATACATCACCAATAAATATTAATTACCTACAGGTTTATTATTGTTTTAGATTGTCCAATCAATAATTCTCGTCTCTATGGAAACTCTGGGTAGACACACAAAATATTCAAAACAGAATTTGCCGTTGTCAAGACTATTGTTTCTGCGAGCTAATTCATTTTTATGGTACGAATTGCAATAAAACGTGTGACTAAGATTAATTTACCAAGATTATAAAGAGCGGTTGGAAATTAACATTGTTCTTTCGATAACTACAATAAGCAGGCATCCAGGGGCTGTCCATTAGTTCATGCGGTCTAATATATTTTTATATTGGTTAATTGTGGTAACAGGCCTGAATTGTATGTTAAAATTTATCATTGATTTCAGATCGTTTTGGTATTTTCTTTTTTAAATAGAAGTAATTGCGTAAAAGGAATATTAATATTGCGTGAATAAGTGAAATGAATATTTAAAAGAGTGGGGGGGGGGGGTAGTAAAAGCTTCAATTTCTAATATACTGACCTTTATCTAATATACTGTTTCCATCATTACCTAAGAAGCAAATACTTTTTTTTATCAATAATGGATCTTTGAGGAAATATCAACTATCAACCAAACATGTCAGTTAATCCATTACTGCTGAATAATCATATCCCTATAGCTTGTGGTAATTTCCTTTATCAAGGAACTCATTACGTGCATACATAATGGACTGGTTTTCTTTATCTGCGTTATGTAGCCCCGTTAAGCATTCTTAACCAGAATTTCTTTTAAACAATATAAAGCGCCTACTCATGATTTCAGATTTGGATTTGCACAAAATATTGAAGATATCTTGTTTTGAGCACTAAATATAGTTTTTCTATACAGTTTGAATGTCTTCCATAACGATCTACTGTCAAACAATTCACACCTCGAACCTCAATAAAATACATCGTACAATTAATGGGAAGTATGGTGGCAAACAGACCCTGGTACATGAGGTTAACAACCATAAACATGTTATCTCCATCAAAACCTGCTACAACAGGCTTTTCCTAATATGGGAGGCAATCTCAAATAAAACCCTACTGGAAGAGGCTATCTCCCATTAATCACACCCTACTGGAAGTGGCTATCTCCCATTAATCACACCCTACTGGAAGTGGCTATCTCCCATTAATCACACCCTACTGAAAGTGGCTATCTCCCATTAATCACACCCTACTGGAAGTGGCTATCTCCCATTAATCACACCCTACTGGAAGTGGATATCTCAAATAAAACCCTACTGGAAGAGGATATCTCCCATTAATAAAACCCTACTGGAAGTGGCTATCTCCCATTAATCACACCCTACTGGAAGAGGCTATCTCCCATGAATCACACCCTACTGGAAGTGGCTATCTCCCATTAATCACACCCTACTGGAAGTGGCTATCTCCCATTAATCACACCCTACTGGAAGTGGCTATCACCCATTAATCACACCCTACTGGAAGTGGCTATCTCCCATTAATCACACCCTACTGGAAGTGGCTATCTCAAATAAAACCCTACTGGAAGAGGCTATCTCCCATTAATAAAACCCTACTGGAAGTGGCTATCTCACATTAATCACACCCTACTGGAAGAGGCTATCTCCCATTAATCACACCCTACTGGAAGTGGCTATCTCCCATTAATCACACCCTACTGGAAGTGGCTATCTCCCATTAATCAAACCCTACTGGAAGTGGCTATCTCCCATTAATCACACCCTACTGGAAGTGGCTATCTCCCATTAATCACACCCTACTGGAAGTGGCTATCTCCCATTAATCACACCCTACTGGAAGTGGCTATCTCAAATAAAACCCTACTGGAAGTGGCTATCTCCCATTAATCACACCCTACTGGAAGTGGCTATCTCCCATTAATAAAACCCAACTGGAAGTAATTGTTACAAGACTAGCACTTCTCTAACATGAGAATACATATTTCATTTTCTACTTCCAAAACTAATATAACAGATGCTAGTATTTAAAACGCCTTTGAAGTGTTTGTACCAATCAAAGAATTATAATCGAATATATGTTTTTCAAATTAAACTGGGTTGGTAGTTACCCATGTTTATATCTACCTATCAAGGCACCTACAACATTTTATCTTATATAACACCCACAAATTATCCATCTGTAGGGTAAATAACACCTGCTTATTTCATACAGACAAATGTATATAAAGTCGGTTTTAAATATATCTTGCCAAGAAATAGAGATACGTCGACTAGCAGATTTGTCATCTAAATGGACAGTGCTTATCCAACAATCACAGTGTGGGAGTAAACTTCCAATAACATGGATAACATACGACCACATGCACGTGTATACTTCCGCATTTCCCCAACATGCTCATCCTCTAATTACACACAAGTTGTAATTACCTGGTAAAACTCTGGACGCACCATCAAAACGATCTTTAAGTAAATTGCCAACAGTTCTGAAAGTGGGTAATCGCATCCAGCAAGTTTTAATGGTACAGCTACCCGACATACCATGACATTTACATTCTTGTTTCATTCCCGTTGATACATGCTGAAAAATATAAAAACACGGTCATGTAAAATAGTGGAAATATGTTGAATTAATATTGAGTAAGACGTTGGCACGCTAGCCTGGACATCCCGTGTTTCATCCCGTGTTTCATCCCTGCTTTCGTCGAGAAAGTTGATTGGGATTTTCCTGCGTGGTTCCCCCTTGTTCGGATGAGACGAAAACCCATGGTCCCGTGTACACATTGGCGTGCACGTAAAAGATCCCTTGACAGTTGGAATTTGATATAAGAGTAGGCCGTAGCGCCGCTGTCCTCATAGCACATCCTCCCACTCAATAAACAACAAATACATCATAATGACAGCATGATAGAATTTGGTAAATCCAGAGGGGTGGTGGGCGTAATTTGGCTAGCCATACCGAGGGGTGATGGGCGTAATTGGCCTAGCCCATACAGAGAGGTGATGGGCGTAATGTAGCCCATACAGAGGGGTGGTGGGCGTAATTGGGCTAGACCATACAGAGGGGGTGGGCGTAATTGGATTAGCCATACAGAGAGGTGGTGGGCGTAAAATCTTCATTAAATTCCATCTCTTAATAAGAAAATAAAATAGAATATCGACCGACCACTACGAGGACCACCCATATTATCACCTAAGGAGGTATGTTATGCTTTTTGGTTTTTATGTTTTTTGTTACTAATTTGTACAAAAGGTTAGCTTCTGTTCCTCATTCTGCCATCCGGAAAATACATAAACCCATATTATAATATACACGTTGGTTTGTTCTGTTTTACCGCACTGTTACTCAAGTAGATTTTTAATTTTAAATCCTTTTATTATTTGGCTTAGGTGTCAGCTTATATGTTTGATTCTATATAATAATGTATTATATTTTAAAATTGTGAAAAAATATTTAATTTACTAGATAATACAATTGTTAAACCTCTAATACACGGCAATTATTATGACAACCCACCGTTGTGCTCTAAGAATAATAAACAGTTACGACTCGTTCCAGATGTATGTGACCACTGTAATAACTAATATTAGTTTATCTTTAAATCAAAACAATATCAGATATGATGTCTGCAAAGGCATTCAGTTTGTCAATGAATTTACATGCACTGTATCTTTTTAACCCTTTTCACAAATGCACAACTTACAAATAATAATAGTAATCGTTTAATAAAACTTTAATAAACAATAGTAAAAGTACTGACAATTCCACTAATAAACAACAATAAAAGTACTGACAATTCCACTAATAAATAACAATAAAAGCACTGACAATTATTGTCAAATTTTGCTAACACGCCTAAAATAAATGAATATGTCAACGACGCCGTAAAGAGGTGTTAAACACATTTACAAAAAAAAATGGACAATCATTTAGACTACCAAAGTAAATTAAGAATTATCCGTGAATGCAGTAATAGTTAGATAACGACATTCAACGAATGGTGAAACTATTGTGAATGCAGTAATAGTTAGATAACAACATTCAACGAAGGGTGAAACTATTGTGTAATTGTTTTATAATTTTTCTTGAGAAAGCTGCACGTGCAAGGTAAGATAACGATTATCTTATTATTTGTAGTTTTATCACACTAAACTCAAAATTGAAAACAGGAATTATAATTCAATATTAGTCTATTTCATTTAATATTGATGTTATGTGTAGTATAAAGCACGAGACTGGGGTTATGCTGGGAAAAGAAAGACTGAAGAAAATAACCCGAGAAAAAAAAACCGAAGCCGATAGGCCGAGGTTTTTCTTTCGAGGTTTTTTTTTCTGAAGGCTTTCTTCCCCAACATAACCGAAGCCAAGGACTTTATCTTGCTTATAAACCGTCTATGTTTACATGTACGTAAAATGAGAATATCCCAGAATTCCATTGAGAAAAACCTTATTTCATGTTTTCTAGTGGAAAATAAAAACCCTAACCCGTTACAGGTTTAAATAAAAACCCTAACCCGTTACAGGTTTAAATAAAAACCCTATCCCGTTACAGGTTTAAATAAAAGCCCTAACCCGTTACAGGTTTAAATAAAAACTTTCAGAAGAATAACCCCAAATTCCCTTATATAATATTGAAAGCCGTCCCAAGCATAGAATATACCCCAAAGATCAAAGAGATTTACCGTTATAGGTTTATAACTTACAGTGAAAATACGGTATCCTAATATTCCGAAATCATCTACTCCATGGACATAATGTTTCGAGCACCATTTGTAATGAACAAAAAAAAAAACATATCACAGAGGACAATGCGGAAGTAATTAAAAACGGCGAGTTCACAAAATAATGTTTTTGAAATCGATTAAGCCGGCGGAAACGACGGTCATTTTAACACAGAGAGACTCTTGTATAGTTTATATTGTAAATTACAATTAAAATTGCTAGAGATACAACTTATAAAACTATTTGACTGAAGAAAAGTTGAAATACTTTGTTCATATTAACAAAGTGTGAATTATAAAATAATCTACGTATTTCCCCCATATCGCGGGTAACATTGTATTTTCATTAGACATTATTTATTCATTAGACTATTGAAAGTATATATTTAGCATTTTATTTAAGTTTACTCATTATTTTGTATGTCATACTTTGAACTTTTGTCTCAAACACCGTATTTTAAATGCTGAATGCAAACATGCTTGTTTAAAGATACATTATGGGAGATTAGATAAAGAGCTGGCAGTTCTTGCTATAATAGTTAAAAACTAGATAATGTAAAGAGGATATGCTGAATATTTCAGTCAAATTGCTTCACTCTAAGCCAAGAAAACCTTATTTTAAAATCAATGTAGCCTCTATTGTCATTATTACCGCTGTCACGACAATCAACGATGTCTCGATTATCCATTTTTGCGTTTAATCATCAAGGAGCCCTGAACAGCAGATCGGATTCAAATCCAACAAAATCGGACACATAAGATGGCATCGAAAGATGATTATGGTATTTTCATGTTAATAAATGTCTAATTAATAGTTTATGTAACATTTCAGACCTAAAGAAAGACTTGCAATAGGCAGATTTACCAAGATGCATAATGTATGTTTAATTATTTTAATTTGAAATATTTGTAAAGATGAAACTCTACATGTACATGTATACATATCGGTGACAGTTCAATTTGTACCTAAATCATTTCGAGCTATATTTATAAGTGATAGAGGTAACTGTTATTTATATCTTGATAAACATCAGCAATGAAATATTAAAATTAATTTCAAGGAGAAAGTGTAAACACCTTTTATCTCGAAATTGTCATTTGATCGCTAAATGACCACTCCAACATGGCCGAACTAGCTGTTAATACATGCGCCACACGTCACTAGTTACAATTACATGTGTATTGACTTGGTGAACGTGTCAAAGTGATTAAAGTTGAAAGATACTATGAAAGAGTGGCTACCTAGCTACCCACAACAACTTAAGAGATTAGGAGCTATTTAAGAGATTAATATTGCCGTATAAAGAAGACTAGTTGAAAAGTTCGCGCCAGAGGTTATCAAATGAAATGTACATTATCTATTTTATTGTTTAAAGTCATGAGAACAGGTTATTATAGACGATAAAATGATTTCTATGTTGAATATTATAATTATTGTTTTATACCAACAGACTATCGTATTATATCATTGTTCACAGCAACCTCATCCGGGTTTTACCATTTACAAAATAGTACTTTAATTTAAATAGTAGTTTTCAATTTAATTAATAATTAGATTTACTCACCACACGTCCCGCCTCGTTATTATGTAAGTTCATCATATAACGAAAATCTCTTCCTTTTTCAATGACATCTACAAATCTGCGAGAAAAGCGGTGACCATAGCGAGCATTATCACTACACCCACTCCATTCCCAATCTTTACCCACCGGAACTTTATTATGTTCATAGTCACAAGAACACGTGTGAACACTGCCTTCAGAACACGCACGTGCAACAGAATGAGACACCGCAGCACTCGTGACAGCATAAATAAACGATGTTTCTCTACACCCTGGAACACAAGACAAAAACATTGGTCAATAATTAATTACTGAAATACATCGATCCCTAACATCGTAAATATTGTATTTTTAGGTGTTAACATCCAAGATCCTTTTCAATAAGCAAATTAGTTCATTACTTCAAATCTTCACTTTAAACAATTGGTTTAAGTTTAATTTTAGCGCTTTTCAAGCTACAAAAAATTATTTACTCCAAAATGTATAAATAAATTGTAGAAATATATTAATAAAGACGTCCTGATAATTTATTTGATAAACACATTTAATATACTATAAGTAAAACTAATGATGTTTAAAGCCGTATATATTTGAAGAACATTGTAAGACATTAGGAAAAGAGATTAAAACTGTAACAAGTATCGTCTAGACGATAAACACAAATGTAAATGATTCCCGAATTGAAAATGTAAATATCTTATTAGAAATTAACGATTAATATGTTGGTATGTAGTTTGCATTATAAAATCATATTGGTGAAAAGCCAAGATCGCAAGTTTAAGTTTCATGTAATTTATATGTTTTAGTTGATAAATATCCGGTACAGTTCTCTAATATAACGTGGTGTATTAAACATTAACTTTATCACGTGGTGTATTAAACATTAACTTTATCACGTGGTGTATTAAACATTAATTTTATTACGTGGTGTATTAAACATTAACTTTATCACGTGGTGTATTAAACATTAATTTTATCACGTGGTGTATTAAACATTAATTTTATTACGTGGTGTATTAAACATTAACTTTATCACGTGGTGTATTAAACATTAACTTTATCACGCGGTGTATTAAACATTAAGTGTATCACGTGGTGTATTAAACATTAACTTTGTCACGTGGTGTATTAAACATTAACTTTATCACGTGGTGTATTAAACATTAACTTTATCACGTGGTGTATTAAACATTAACTTTATCACGTGGTGTATTAAACATTAATTTTATTACGTGGTGTAATACATTAACTTTATCACGTGGTGTATTAAACATTAACTTTATCACGTGGTGTATTAAACATTAACTTTATCACGTGGTGTATTAAACATTAATTTTATCACGTGGTGTATTAAACATTAATTTTATCACGTAGAAATGTTCTAGTTATTATTGTTTTTTACAACATAGAGAAATAGTTATAATCTAGTTGATCAAATTAGTGAAATATTTCTCTGCTTTATTACACAGTGAAATATTTCTGCTATAATCTAGTGAAATGAGTTATTATATAATCTAGTGAAATGAGTTATTATATAATCTAGTGGAATGAGTTAGTTATATAATATAGTGGAATGAGTTAGTTATATAATCTAGTGGAATGAGTTAGATATATGAACTTTTTATTCAGTTTCCATTGCTCGTGCATGATTAAACGACATTTTATATTTCCATCGCCCCGCTCAGATTTAAAGACAACCTATTAGATACCCCAATATCGATAACCTATCACTGTATGAGATACACGAAATTCAATAACACCTTCCCTTACTAGAATATATTATAGACGTACAATAGCCAAGAAAAATGATTTTGCTTAGCAACTTACACACAACGATAGAACTGGAAAAAAAATCAAGTTTAATGTTCACTTTATATGGTTTTGTTTGAAGGGAAATAACTCTTAAAAATGGAAACTAGAATCATCAATGATGAGTAAAATAGATGCTTTCTTAATATTATTTATAGGAAATACGTAGGCATCTTATATTTTCTAGTTAATTTTATAAATACTCAATAGTGTCCTTGAGATCACTGGGATTGTTGAAAACTATTCCCGTGACCTGCTAACCAGTTGTCTCGACAAATAAAATCAAGCAGCTTAACATATCGCAGTATTAAATTATTCATGATTTATGATTTTAGAAAATAATAAAAAAAAAAACATATCATAGTTTGTTTTAAAAGATTTGTTGATTTGAGTTGCCAAAGTGGAAAAACAACTATATATACATATGTTGATTTATGTTTTTATCATTCAGTAATACTGGGATAAATTGAATAGTATTTTACTGTTCAGTTTACAGATAATCTGTCTATAAAGTTGAATGACTATTAAAACACTAGAGGATGGATGCGATGTCTCTAGTGTATTAACTGATGTTAATCGATGTAGGTTTCTGGGCGTCTCAATCGCTTACATAGTTTATTGTAGCTCTGTTTTACTTAATTTCCGCACTACCGTCAAGTTAACTGAATGGAATATTTTCCTGTCCCATTCTATTGGTACGTTAATTGAGATGAGAAATTATTATATTGTACATTGATGTCTACATAATATCTATAATCAACAGGGGGGGGGGGGGGTATTTAAAGATTCGTTTGGTTTTCCATAATGTTGGGTCATCGCTATAGTTTATCCCAAATTTCTAAAATTAGATTTACTGTTATATCGATTTTATCATTTTATGGCAAGGCGAATAAAGGATGGTCTAATTATAATTGAGTTTCCTATAAATTGTTTTATAATGTACTAAGTTTTAGATTGTAAGTAATGATATAAACTAAAAATAGATTTATAAAGAAAAGGGATGGTATGTTAATATACGTGATTATAATCTGTGAATATTCGTTTCATAACCTCCATTTTTAACGTTATCTTAATTCTTTATCATAGACAGACATACGACGAAGAGTAGACGAAAAAGCCACTGTCCTGGCAAAATTCTCCTTCAGCGAAAAAATAAATGTATGTTATTCTCTTGACGAGACGTTAAGCTAAACCTTGAGATGGGAATTTTTGGTTATTTTACGATTCGTATTTTTGCCTCATGTTATGTTTACTAATAATGTGAAAAATGATTCTAAACATATTTTAATTAGATAAAGATACAACTTGAAGATTTCAAAGACAATTTAATAACACCTTACAAAATAGGACCTCATAAAACACACTAATAACACCTTGCAGAATAGGGCCTCATAAAACACACTAATGAAAAGAAGTAAGCGAAAAGGGCGGCGTGCGAAAATAAAATAGTAACTTGTAACACGCTAAATCACACCCAGAAAAACAACAGGACATCTTCTCTTAAAACATGGCTTCATTAAGGATGGTGGGTGGCCAATATACTTCCTTTTTATACCCCATAATGCCATGTTTGTGTTCCCTGCATAGGTTTTACGACCTTAGATATAGTGCCCACTTGTCTTTTAATATTGTATCAACTACTTGTAAATATATTGTTATTGGTAGGTAAAGACATCAGAAGAAGGTGTTGTAAAAGTTTGTAATGAAATGGGGAAATAAAGCAAGAATTAATACAAAACTTATTGCCATGTTTCCGCAGGTAAAGGTTGACACAGTATAGATAGAACCGTGAAAATATTACCATCAATCAATTATAATTATAATGATTCTGATAGAGACAGGACATTCATTCCTTGTCACCAAACTTTGTAAAGAATATTTCATATTTTAGATCAAGTGGAGCCAATAGGCCAAATATATCTATATAGACTTTCTCTATAATTAAATACGCAAGTTTAAGATGTGTTAGCGATACTTGTATGTTATTTGGCGGAAGAAGCACGCAGACAGCGGTAAAAAGAAGGCACGGATACGAAGATATTTATAGTTGATATTAGTAACAAGAGCAGTATGGAATGTCTAACAAGCCACGGGAACCAAATAAAAATAAAACTTTATGACTTAATCAGGAAAAGTGGTCCATTAATAAAACTGGTTGAATGATTTCACACCTTTAATAGTCCTCGTGCATAAAATCGGCAGGAGAGATAACACGCCAACGCCATGAACTCCTGGGGGTCGAAATATTTTCATGAAAATAAATTCCTACATAAGTGACTTGAAGTGGCACGTATATGTAATATTTAAATTGGATCAATAATTGATAATTCAGATAAGTTGAAATTCTTATTTTACGCTGTTTATTAACTTTCAAGTGCTATTCTAGGTGCCTCTTGCAAGATGTCTAACCGACTTAAAGTTACGTGGACAGCATACGACAAACAGTGCACGAGCACAACGCAACAATCACAAATATCATAGTGTAGGCATCTAGAAAGCGCTAACCGTACGGAACCAATAATTGAACGTTTTGTACAAAATAATTATCCAATTAACTCAGTATTTCAATAATCTTCAGCGTTTATTTTGATTTATTTGTGAAGCAGTAGATCAGTGAATAAGTAGGTTTCAAAACGACACATGTCACATTAATATTAATTTACATTACAAGTAATATTTGAAATCGGGAGATCAAAAGATGACTTTGATAAGTTAATCCTACGTGGTTTGCCATACGCTAGTAAATCAGATATTAATGTTTATATGTGTTTAATTAAGACATACCTACACATGATTGTAATATAGGTTATATGAAGTATAATAATTTATAAACATGATTGTAATATAGGTTATATGAAGTATAATATTTTATAAATCGTTGATGTAAAGTAAACACAAAACGGAGAACCGGAAAACTAATCTAATCAATATCAATAATTCAGTCATTTTATTTCGCTCTGCCAATCGAGACATTAGAAATTATTTCAGAAGTAGTAATTGATTATTTCTTGTTAATTCATTAATAAAATAATTCCTTCAGGCGTTATCTCAAATTCTTCAGACTTTTTAAAATATTTTTTTAAAAAATCACATAACGTGTTTTTAAATGAGTTTCGCCTTCGGGCAAGTATGAAGAGATAAGAAAGTATAGATTTGTAATAAAATAGAGAGATATTATTAGCTGACGCCAGTGGATGGTTCATTATGTTTATTATCTACCCATCTATACGACAACAATAAAATATTAGGCGAGTTTTTGTATTCAATTTGTTGTACATTTTATCTTCTGTGTACCAGTCTGGGTTAATTTAATTCCATATACGCAATAGCTAAAATTTAAATCCCATGACAACACACATGTATTTTATCCATGTTGATGATTGAATGATTGACGGGTACATTCATGTTATAAGAACTCTCGGCCTATTGATCCCCCCTGGTTATAACAAACATATATGTTGTGTTAACTATCTACGACTTATTTCAGCTATTTTCATCTTGTCCCTTTTACAAACGATTGACGTCTATTATCTTTATTCTCATTTTGTGTGCGCTAATCTGCATTGACCCCTGATGACACACATTAATATCATCAGAAAAAAAAAATCAAGTGGTTAAACGGTCATTGATTCATATCTTTAAAATGGTTGCAAATTAGCAGGAACATCCTTACATCTAAATAGTGAAACGGTTGCTTAATATCGGAGACGGTAATAATAATGATCTTTTGGAGAATAAAGAATGTTCATGTAGTCCCTGCTCTATAACATCTTATTAATGAATGTTCATGTGGTCCATGCTCTGAAACATTTTATTAATTGTTATAAACCAAACTGTTATGTTTTATTCCCCAATCTAGATGGACGTGAAGAACATTTCTCGCCTATAATTAAACAATGATAATGTAACTTGAAGTTTTCCGAGTCGCCTAGAATTGTTGTCAATGAGTCTGGTATGTTACAAGCCTAAGAGACGAGTAGGAATGCTGAAACTATGCTGAACAATTGATAAGTTAAACTTTCTCATGGTCTGTGATAATAGCAGGTGGAGTGACAATAAAACGACTTCTCTACCTGTTTATTATCGTAAATAAAACTACCACACAATTATGACTATTTGCCATTTTGTTCATCAAAACGGGCCTAAGAATAAGTATGGAAGAAAACGGGACATGATCAAATGGCGAATATATGTATTTACAGCTTATATATGTAAAATATTATTATTTAATATGATTCTTCATACAGTCAGATGCACCAATTGATTTAATAGAATAAAACAAAAACTAAAGTAAAACTGGTTGTATTATTACCTGACAGATTAACATGCTTTTGATAGTATAAATTTGACCATTCTATGTATGGTGCCCTTCTTATGATTGCCGCCAATAGACTTATTACAACACTTTGACTTTGTACAAAATGAACTTAAACAATATCTGGTTTCAGAAAGTATCCCACTAAGTTTTTTTATAAATTTTACTCAAAAATATGTTTATATGTTTCGTAAGATTTATCAATGAATGCCTGAAGAGAAAGATAACTCGTCCAAACGCCGGTGTGTAAACGGTCTCCCTATTGACTTCAATGTTAAATTCGTGACATTTCTTGGCCTATAACATCTTAATCTTTATAACCACAAATAGTCCAACATGTCACAATGATCGGATAAAAAAGGTGGACAGAGAGAAATGAAACCAAATGGGATTTAACGTCCTATTTTTAACTGATGAAGATAGAAGAGAAACCGAGCATTGATCTAAATACAGGAACTAGCGGGGGTTAACGTGTGCTGCCATCGACGGTTATATCGAAACTATTTAAAACCACCTTAAAGTATTTGGTTTCCAATTATAATCATACCTCGTACAATTAGAAGTAATCATTAAACATAATCATGGTTTTCTGTAGCAAAAGTCGGACACACATAGAGCTAAATTTAAAAATAGAAAAAGACTCTGGTAATAAATATTACATCTTCTGATAAAGGAAAGCTCACTGACAATCAATCGGTTTTTCCTTAAACTAAATCATGACCGCGAGACTGTTTGCGTGAACAAGAATTGTGAACTACAAACGCACGGACGGGGTGACTGCAATATACTATCCAGTTTTAGTGCTGGTTATAAGAGTCACGTGAGCTGGGCTGTATTATTATCCAGGGTCCATTAAACAAGGTATTTACTTGGCATCATTAAATCACATTTCAAATTTTTTAAGTTTTAAAACGGTAAAAGTATATTTTGTATATCACGTACACTCGACTCGGAATTTAAATATAAAAAACTATGTAATTGATGTTGGACATTTTCATTGATCCATGTTTGTGTTTTATCTTTTCATTTTGGGGAGCTAAGTTTCATTGTGGTTCATCTGTTAATTTTGGTGAGCTAAGTTCCATTGTGGTTCATCTGTGTAATGATGATAATAATAGTATTTGAGTAGAGTTGTGCTTTGAATCGACAAAATCCACTGAGGTATAATCGAGAAATAATGGGTCCTGTATGAGACCATTTCATGTATGGATTCCAAAGACGAAAATTGTGATATACAAGTTTTATTTTGTATTGGGGGTATTAAGTACTGATTTCGTATTGAACAGTTTACGTGATTAAATATGATTTACAAGCCCTTTTACCTTATTTGGATATAATAAAACATTTAGAATTATCGATGTCTTGCTTCCTTTACCATCGGTTTATCGTGTGAACGTAATTATATTATATCACAGTTATATACCTCATACACAAAATATACTATATCACAGTTGTATACATCATACACAAATTATACGATATCACAGTTATATTTAATGGAATATGCGACAGTTTCACGCTTTTAGTAAGGCAGTGATTATAGTTTTAGTGATATACTCTTCATAAGTTTCATTTGATGAAATTACAAAATAAAATCATGACATTTACTTACCCTTATTAAGTATTTTTCCAAACACAGATCCCCCGTGCCCGTCATAAAATGTTGGACAATTCCAGCGCCTATTCTCAAACTGATGTTTACATTCGTCAATGGCTATTTTTGCACCTTTGGCAATGGCCATAATAGTTCCAGGATTGCGTGTCACTAACTTCCGTTGTCTTTTTGTTAATGGAAGTAAACTAGGATTGTTGTAGAGTTGATTAACAGAAGTTCGTAAATCGTTTGTTCGGTGTCCAATATTTGCCAAAGACCTAAAATAAATATCAAATATTAAAACTAAAATTGAGAATAGATATAAAGTATAAGCAATGAGTATTTAAATTATTTGTAACAGACATTTCATTATTTAATTGAATACATTGATCGATTATAAACAATATAAAAGATTAGAAAAGTGTGAAAATACCACTCTATAGAAAAACAATCTATAAAATATTTCAATCATATTACGAAGGATTATATCAGCAAGATTTCATCCTAAACAGATATAAAATAAATAGGATATATCTTACCACCATTGAACCCCTTTCATTCTTCCGCGGTGTCGACCTTTTTTAGCCCCAATTAATAAATAACACAAACTAATCAAAAAACAATACAATAATAAACGCATGCTGGTTCACATTAGAAAATATTGCCCAAGATCCCTTTTCAAACTTTTTCTTTTCCTTCGTCCTATTTTTTTTTTATTTTTTTTTTCTCGGTGAGTGTTTCAATAAGTAATTGAATTTAATCTCCTGTAATCTCAAAGGTTTTTCGGCAATATGCTTTTAAACTCTTCATTTAATAGCAATAGGTAAAATACACTCTGTCTGTTACCATTTACGTTTTATCATTATGAAAAAGGGTTGAGTACCGCCTACCCTAATGTTCTTCTAGGTATTTACATACTTAAGAACATCAACAATCTTTTTGTCCCAATTGTTTGATGAAGGCTATAAGCAGTCAGCAACAGTTAAAATCCTTGTCTGTATAATTAAATTCCGTTGAATGTTTCACGAATGGACACCATTTACGCCAGTGGTCTGTCTAGCTTGTGTCGTATAAATCTTGAGACAATGTATTATGAAGTTCACATATAAATTGGGGGGAGGGACACTTAGGTATGTATTTTCATTTTCAAGCTGTACCGCAATTACATACAATAAAGACAATATAGATGCAAATTTAACCCGGAACGATAATATGATGGCAGCTGTAGATATACTACTGAATTAAAACGTAATCGAACGTAGTCTTGCTCTGTAGATAAAATAATGTGAGCTTTACCCTATACGGGATAATAAAATGATCACTTTTTCTCAAGAATGCCTATTTAAACACAATATCTAGAATTTCACTTATTCGAACATTCCAAATCATATCAGTGAAATTCATCTATGCACAACGATTATATGGCGGGAACTAGGAGCGCCCCTTGTGGGCAACCATATTGTAAAACAATTATTTGTTATGCAATGTAACATATAAATTATGGTATAATTTCTTAATCCTGGCGCTAATTATTGATTCGCATGAATTAATAATTATATTTCACTTGAGTTACACAGTGTTAGTCATAAAGCATATATCACCACTAGATTTTCAATTTAGAATAATAATAAGAAGAATTGACGAAGCACTGATAAGCTGTTAACAATAGTTGGCAACGTAATTAGTTGATGACACTCGCTATCTTCCTTTGTCCCTGCGTTACACTATCCCAGTATCTGTCACTTTTACCGTGTTCAATAACACCTTACTATACAGTCAACAGTCAACAGGGAAACTCGCCGTTAATAACAGGCCCACAGGGTCAAATTGATCCCAAACCAGTAAAAAGATGACTTTACTTGTGAGACAATAAAATAACTCGCAGTAAGTGGTTTCTAATTTACTATACGCTTTGGTGATCGACTTGATTACCCACATGTACTTAGATGTTGTTTTCAATTAAGAAACGGTACATTTTCACATAGAAGGTTTTCTTTCATTATCGTATTATGATATTCCATTAAGCGAAATCACCAACATGAAGTAAATCTTAGATAGGCATTTTATTACCCATGTCCATTTTCTCACAATAAAGACAGACGAGAGTCAATAATATTCATATTCAATGACAATTTATACCCACAACCTTCCCATCCCTCAACAATTAATGCTTAAACTCTGTGGATGAAAGTAGATATTAAAATCGACGATAACCCCAGAATATAGCCTTAGTTCATGGTAGCTAAAGGTACTAATTATATTTCTAATATTTATGACCACGTTTTATCTTGATTTACAGTGGATGGAGATTGACCAATTTATAATATTATTCTCAAAATATTCGTAAAGTCTATCCAAATTATTTCCATTTATCTATATAAAACAAGTTGTCTTGTCCCAATTTAATAGTGTAGTTCGTCAAATTTAGAACATCTAATGGCAGTTAATGCCTTATCGAAGTGCCCACACAATGGGGCCCGTGTCTTTTATTTTTCTCCCAAAATGTCCAAAAGAAAAACACAAAATCAAAAGAAACGCGAACAACATTTAGACCGTCCGTTGTGTAACGATATAAAATCATCGATGACTGTGTCTCCGTTACGAACTCGCAAAGGATTGAAAAAGATATAAACAAGCAACAGTCAACAAATAATCGCGGCCAGTCACTTCAATCTGCCCAATCCTTCTAAAACAAAACACACCAAAACGTTAACACAATTCACCACCCTTGTCCATCCATTTATTATCTTGATTTTTAATTACATAATACAGGTTAATCCCTATCCACATTTTTAATTGCATAATACAGGTTAATCCCTATCCACATATTAAACTCGAACATTATTGAAAGGTTACCGCCAAACGACCCTGGGCAATGTTTAGATGCAAGTCTGATAACGAGTTTTTAGACTAGCGATAAAAAGTTTCTGGTAATAATTAAAATATATTTGAGAATTCAAAGACAATATTCGACATTCATATTTGAATGTTGATTATGACAACCACGCCTTCCTGTGAGAATTATTTCAATAGGAAATACACCCCGCCACTGGTATACGAGGTAGAAAGACACCTCGCTTCAGGTAGACGAGGTAGAAATACACCCCGCTACAGGTAGACGAGGTAGAAATACACCCCGCTCAAGGTAGACGAGGTAGAAAGACACCTAACTTCAGGTAGACTAGGTAGAAATACACCCCGCTACAGGTAGAGGAGGTAGACATACACACCGCTACAGGTAGACGAGGTAGAATACACCCCGCTACAGGTAGACGAGGTATAAATACACCCCGCCACTGGTAGACGAGGTAGAAAGACACCCCACTCCAGGTAGACGAGGTAGAAATACACCCCGCTACAGGTAGACGAGGTAGAAATACACCCAACTACAGACAGAAATACACCCCGCCACTGGTAGACGAGGTAGAAATACATCCCGCTACAGGTAGACGAAGTAGAAATACATCCCGCTACAGGTAGACGAGGTAGAAAGACACCTCGCTTCAGGTAGACTAGGTAGAAATACATCCCACTACAGGTAGACGAGGTAGAAATACACCCCGCTACAGATAGAAATACACCACGCTACTGGCAGAAGAGGGAGAAATACACCCCGCTACAGGTAGACGAGGTAGAAATACACCCCGCCACGGGTAGATGAGGTAGAAATACACCCTGCTACAGGTAGACGTGGTTGACTAATATAATATCTTTATTACTTGTATATACCTAGTGCTTATAATATTACAGGAGAGAGTTATGGGTAATCTAGATAATATTACAGGAGAGAGATATGGGTAATCTAGATAATATTACAGGAGAGAGTTATGGGTAATCTGTATATAAAAAACGCTATTTTATTTAAGATAGTTATAGTTTATCATTCGAATGTTTATAATATATAAGTCGCAGTATTTCTAAAATAGTTAGTCTTTCCAGATGAAGACTTTACTCCACATAATTCACATTTAAATCTTAAATTTGTAACAGTTGACAAAGATACATGTCTGTTTCCCACGAGCAGTTACTATTGACAGTATATTGACTTGGCACTTTGACTTGAGAGGTGTGTGTACCAAGTGATCTGTTAATTGTTCAGAGATTTACTGTGTCTTCAGCAGGAAATTAGTGAGTGTGGTGTTTAAATACTTTCACAAGACGGGTTCATCCTGGGATTACATATTCATATATCAAGCAGACATCGGTCACAAGAGATTGATTTTAAGTAAACGTGAGTTTACCAAGGTATGAAACACCAAGTAACGATTACTTATAAATTCTTAAACAAAATAATAAAGATAACTAGGAAAAACAAAACATTGACTACGTTTAGTTCTCAAGACAGCCAGCCACACCCTACCCACACATCCATATCTATTGTCCACGTAAAACACAAGAGTTGAAATTCAACTTCTATCCGGACAAAATGTCTCGCCATTCCGTCTCGTAAATGACATTAACAGATCACAATTTCTATGGGAAAACAATCACTGGTTTTATTCTGAAAGCACGACGTTTCGACAAGTATCCCAATCGCTAAATACTACTGAAAGATTATCGTAAAACACAATCACATGTTAGTCTCATAATTAGCTTGTTGAGTCTGGATGAGAAGCTAAACTCTTTTCTAAAATACCGTTGGGATATTTTATTTGGATACCGCACTTCAATAGGAAGTAGTAATGGTTATATTTGAATTCTACTATATCTATGGTATTTCCGCTAATTTTTAAAATCTTATAGCCCTATCAGGCTATTCATAGGCCAGTGTTTTTGAGATTTTATTTTGGAAATTTCCTCGGGGAATTTATCTAGTAATAGGTATGAGGGTCATTCCATGTCAACTAGATCAGTGCTTGTCGGGTGACCTCGTCAGAATATTATGAAAAATATAAATGTTATAGTTTGTAGACTTATGTAAAGTTATAAGACTTTAGCATCAATATTGACTAAGATATGGCCGTTTGAATCGGGGAACCCAGTCACAAGTTTTGAAACTATTATTCTATGTTCTAGTTTTATATTTTCTAGTTAGACAATATTCTTCAAATTTGTAGTATTGTTGCTTATACATGTGTAGGCCTATATCAATGGTGAAAGGCCTATCTTTCATATTTTGATATCGTACTCCTTTTTTTTTTTATGAAATTAGAAGAGTAAATTGTGGTGGTTTTTTTTGTGTTTTTTTTTGTTTTTGGGGTTTTTTTTGGGTTTTTTTTTTGGTTTTTTTTTTAATTGATTATAATATTTTCATGATCATCATGAAACAAGACTTTCTAACAATTATCGCACACTGAATATCATCCAATCACATCCTGTAAGAGCAAGTTAAATTACTTAAATTCTAAATACAAGGATATTAACATTTGATAAACTATTAACATTTGATAAACTTAATACAAGGATATTAACATTTGATAAACTTAATACAAGTATATTAACATTTGATAAACTTAATACAAGTATATTAACATTTGATAAACTTAATAACGTCATAACAAATTTATAATTTGGTTTTCGAAAAGGGCTATGCACTATAGACGCCATATTTGCTTTACAAACATTAATTAATTGTGCATTAAAACGTAAAAAACGTCTATATTGTTGTTTCATTGATTACTCAAAAGCATTTGATTTTGTTCATCGCTCTAGTCTCTGGTACAAATTAATCTAAGAAAGGAATTGATGAT